TCTCTCTGGGTGGTGAAGTGTCCGGGGCTTTTCATTCGGTGCATGGGAGTACTGGCCATGATCCAGCAAATCTGACTCATCTCCGGAGATTACACACTCACCACCGCCACCGGCCGCCGTTGTCGACCGAACGACCGCCTGTCAGGATCACAGCTGATATTTGCGCCGCCGGGCGGTTCGTTATCCGGCTCGAGACACCGGTGGCCACGCCCTACATTTCTTAGTGAACCACCGCTCCTCTGCTCACCGCCGATTTTTCTGCGATTCCCCCATCGATTCCGTTCTCTTGATGGTCATTTACCACTTACTTTGGGGAGTCAAGGGACCTGCCGGGAGTTGGGTAGCTTCTTGTCTTATGATGGAGTTTGACAGTGTATTGATTATGGTAGTGCTTTGATAAGGGCTGTTAATGAGAACGGCTCAAAGGCAAACCCTACCTGGGTTATCAGTGCTTGCACTTACACTACTACATGTTACACATTTCTATGAATTTATGTGGTCTCTCAGCTGAAATAAGCTATCAGAAATAGCTCCTACGGGCGCTCCAACGAATAATTTCCCTAGGTTGATGTCTGAGAACGGGTAGTTTCTTAAATGGCTTTCATTCATCCAGGCTCAGATTGAAGTTGGTTAGGATCTGATAACTTTGGTTGGGTTCGCCCTACCTAAGGATTCCTTATTTACCTTCATCTTGTAAGCTGTTCTCATTCGTGCTCTCAGAGAAAGTTCTCGAAATCATTATTCTTTTTACATATGTTGTTGATTTTTAGATATTTTTATGAAGCCCCTTGACATTTAGTCACACTATCGACCCACTTTGTGAGGGCTCTCCTAAGTGTGCTGGAGAGAGTAAACATCCCCACCTTTCCTAAAAAAATTTGTAAGGTGCGCAGAATTCAGCCCTGGTATGGAAACTACAAGCGTTTGGAGTATTTTATTACCATACAAGCGCTGATAAAAATAAAAATTCACAGTTTTAGGGCAATATCTGGTTACTCTACAGTCTTTGATAACCTACCCCAAGTTGTGGCTCTTAGACAGCGCTGAAGCGCTTTGTGGCAGGTTTTTCTTGATGCAGCATCTGAAATTACTATGAACTTGGGGGATTCGCAAAGAGCCTGCTGTTTGAATCTTCTGTGAATAAAAACATGGCGTGGAGATGGACTTCACAGCGATAACCATCAAATAAATTGTGGAAATAGGTTTATTCTTGGAACCTGGTAGACCAGATGTTCCACATGTTTAGCGCAAAAGTGCTCTGCGGGTTCAATTCCACCCCACAAGTTCGCCTCCTGGTATTTGGTTGATTAGTTCCAGACCCGCATTTTAGTGCGGGTGTAACGAATGGAAGTCAGCTGGCTCCCTTCGGAAGTATAGGTCTTGAGAATTGTACGGACTGCCTTCAACTCGTAAAAGCAAGGAGGAGTACATACGGGTGGCACTTCCTAGAAAAGAACTGTTCGCTTAATTTTTTTTGAACTCGCTTTGTATTGAGTTGAATTTGTGCATTTATAAATTTTGCAACTGGATGGTGTGGAAGGAGGTGTCATCCGATGGCAATTGAGAGAATTACAAGGCAGTTCTTTAGAATTGTGAATGGCCGATCCAGAGCTGGCGTCGAAGTTGGCGAGACGTCTCGAGACCGTTGATGATGCGGGCTCAGATAAACCCAAAGCTCAACCACCTCCTCCAGCACCAAAGATGCCAGAAAAGGTAAGCCAACATTTCAGCATCTGCAAGACTAGACGTAATAAATTAATTCATCAATTTTTTTTAGATTTCTCTTTCCCTTAGTTTGATGTTGGATTTGTGATGTTGTTTTCACAAGAGGCTGGGTTACGAAAAAAGAAAAAACTCTTTGCCCCATGCGGGAAAAAACGAACCCGAACCCGCACCTGCGCTGCTGCTTTTTGCCCATAACTCGGCCATCTTGTGAAAATGAGGCGATTAAGACATACCTTGCAGTGCTTGACTACGAAAATCATCATCGTTCGATCCATTGCTCAAGCAGACTTTCCGTTCAAGGGCTAATCTTTTCATTATCACTACTGAAAGAACTTTCCTTGTGCACTCGCTTAGGTGTATGATAATCATTAATTATTATTGGCATATGAGTCGTGACTATCTCGCTGGGCGGCATACTATTTTTTTGTAATTTTTGCAAATAATGGGCAAAACTAAACAAAACTGGCGGAAGTGGTGTAGTGGCAAGTGGCACGCTTACCACGCGAGCGGTCCGGGGATCAAATCCTGGGTCGTGAGTCGCCCGGGCCAACCAAGCCTTCCATCCCTCCGGGGTCGGTTAATTGGTACCAGACTTGTCTGGGAGGATAAAAACACTGACTTGTACATCGGCTGGCCCCGCAAGTCATTGTATAGGCCACATCGCATTCAAACGCCACTACGAATGTACAAATGGAAGTAGAATGCGTGCCGCATCCCAAAAAGGGATTGATCAACGGCAAATGCTTTATCCTTTTATCCTTTAATGGGCAAAACTTGGCTACGTCTTCGCAGAGGAAATTCAATACGTGCTAGCTTGGGCCGTAACGACAATTTGCGATATATGTTTCGAATTTTTGCAAAATTCTCAAATTTCGGGAACTCGGTCCTCGGCACTCACGGAAATGGAGTCAAAAATTCCAAAAAAAAAACTGAGGATTGCAAATAAGTGGATTCCTGAGAGCAGTGCTATCAAACGGTCTTTCAATGCGCTTTGCGTACGTTATGGCTAGATCTCAAAATGCCAATTCGGCAAAAAAAAATTTGCGTTTTTGTGGATTGAGTTGCTCACATAGCTAGAAGATTGATTTTCGACGATTATCAATTTAGGTGGTTCCAAATCCTTACGTGGCCGTGGATGATTCCGTCTCGATTGATGATCTTATAGCGAAAGCAATGGAGAGAAAAGAGCATAGAGAAGAAAATAATAATGTGAGTGTTTTTAACCTTTTTGTCTTCATCCCGCTATCGGGAGCTGATCTGATAGCCTCCTCTAAGTCAATTTTTCGGGAGCTATAGCAAATATTTTGCTAGTTTGCATTCTCGGAAAAGCGCATGTGATTGAGCGATGTGGATGGACGACAACGCAGCGATCCAAAGATAAATGTACATAAAAACCAGGAAAACAACGAAAACATTTAGCAGCTGCAGACGTTTCAAATTCTTAGCTGCATGAAGGGCAAAAAACCAGAGGCTTTCTGATTTTGCCTGCATTTTAACTAGATTGTTGTTCTTTACATTATCACTACAACATTTATTCGTCCCCTTGATTACGCTGATCCCTTTCTCATTGATGAGCTTCAAAGGATTGACTGAATGCAGTGGTTCGCCTGAGTTAGACTAAAAGAACCATAGCTTGTTTTGAAGGGCGAATTCACGATAAGAACGAAGGTCAAAGAAGGGGAAAATTGCATAGTTGGGAGACAGGCGGACCTCCTGAGGGTGCTGACCGACGCGCAATTGGCAGCGAAAGATTTGACCTCGGCGATCTAGCATGGCTCACTCTTGGCGCGGTTGGCGGGGTACGCCCACCGACTATCTAATCACTCGCCGCAGGTCTATACGTGGCGAGTGATTAGATAGCAGAGAGAGCGTAGTGTTGAAGAGGGCACAGCGATGAGAGTCGCATCAATGCGCAAATCAACGGGCAAGGAAGGGGTCCCATTTCTCGGGTTTCGGGCCGTTTCAAATGGTTTCTTCTTCATCCCTGCTCCACTGACCACCTCTACCCTTATTTCCAATGAGCTAACTTTTCATCGTAAATTCTGTCTTTAAGTTCATTTGCATGAATTACACTTCGTTTTATTCCATTTGTTAATTCATTTTTTCCTTCTCTTATCAGAGTCTTTGTCCTGGGAGTACTTGATTTTCGCTGTGTCATCCTGCACACACGGATAAGGGATAAAGTGATAAGCATTGCTAAACTCCAAAGCGCACGCCATGCATTCAACTTCCGTTCGATCCCAGGCCAATAGACATCACAGTCGTATCACAATCAGGGCAATGCATAGCACCACAAAAAGCTTCCATGTTTTTAAGCATAACTCAAACCACCCCAGACCATCCTTTTCTCTCCCTCTGATTGAGGGGCTGGTGCTATATGTATAATATTGCAACCACGAAAACTCCCGAAAAAAATCACTGAAATCTTTCAAAATCTCTAATAATTTCGAAAATTCCGAAATT